CGCTCGAGTTTTTAAGCTAATATATTTTTGCATAATTGTCTAAAAAAAAAAAAAAAAAAAAAAAATACAAACTCGTCGATACCACTTACGTCGCGAAATAGAAATCCGACTATACCTACGAGTGTGTTATGTTTTAAGCATAATTCGGAATTCAATAATTGTACATTAGCGAAATCTGATAACGTTCCGAATGCAGCTAATTGCCCTCTTACTATTTTAGTATTTTATATCTAAAAATGAAAAGGAGAGACGAAGGTTTTTTTTGTTTCAATTTGATATTTGCACGTAAGTGAATTGAAAAATCTTAATTACGTCCAAAAAAAGAGAAATCAAAAAAACTAATCGCGGTTTCCATTAATGTCGAGATGCCCGTTCCGAGTTGGTTCGATATTTTATTCGTTTTTTTTTTTTTCAGCGCGACTCGTCGTCGTAAAACACTGCGCAACTGTAACACGCTGTGTTCAAAGACAGATATGTGATTCGCAACGTCATCGCCGTAATAAAGCGCGAGCGCATTTCGCCATGCGTGAAGCTCGCCACAGAGAGACAAACAAGCGGATATGCATTCCGAGATACGCAATCGCGATACGTCGTCGCCATTTCGGCGCGCGCGTTAACCTAACCGCTGTTATTCCGTCCTGTTTGCGGAGCTCGACGATATGTCGCATCGTCGTCGTCGTCGTCGTCGTCGTCGTCGTCGTCGTCGAAGATTCCTCCCGAATATAGAGCGGAATATTAATCCGGTGAGATATTGTGCGGGCGCGCTCTCGCGCGAGAGGGAGGCATCGGCACGCCGCCGTGTCTTCTCTCTCCCGGCTTGGATGTAAATTAACTTTGAGAAACAATCTTGTCGTTAACTCGGCGTATAATAACGCGGGCGTGGGATATCGCAGGCTCCGCTTTCTGCACCTCCACCGCCCGTCCCCGTCGGAAATGCCTTCCGCATTTGTTTCGCGCTCGCGTAAAGCGCGGCGGCGGCGGCGGCGCGCGCGTACGCACCGATCGCACGTAGTCCCTCACTGACGTCGAAGCATTAAGACGACATGTTTTATCGCGTCGTTTCGCGACACCGGCGCACCATCTTCGCAAACTAATCCCTATCTTTCTTCCGTTCTCCTTTATTTGACCTTCTCCTCCTCCTCCTGTCTCCATCCTCCGCAGAGTTTACATCTCGTAATTATTTATCCGATGAAAATGGCTCGCGCGTATCCCCTCGATTTTACACAGTTGCTTTAACGGCGCTCGTTAAATTTGCCGGTCTTAATAATCAAGCTAAGAACGACGACGACGACAACGACGACGACGACGACGACGAGAACGACGACGAGAACGACGACTCGTTCCCGATAAGGGAAAGGCATTACGTTCATTTTATATTCCGCGGGACGTAAATAAGTTCGCGCAATGAAGGGAGCAAAATTATGCGCCTGAATAATGTCTGTGTATCGGTAACGGGCTCTCACGGGCTCCCATATTGCGCAGGATTATTTTCCTCGGTCGTAAAAAGTTACGTGTCACGGGCTTGCACGCTCGTGCGACAACCACGGACGTGAAACACGAAAATTGCCGCCCCGCCACACGCCAGGGTTTTTACGACAGAGGAGGCGCGGTATAGCGTCCGGAACCTGAAATTGCGGCGATGAGCTCGAACGACCTTTTGTGTTCTCATCTCGTGAGTAGTTCTTTTCGATACGATAGTAAAAAATAAAAATAAAAAAAAATAAAAAAAAAAACACACAAAGTAACCGGCGTTGTAAATCATATTGTTTCTACTAATTTCGAAAATTGCGTTCGGAAACGAATCTGAACGCGGTTAAAATCTCGCGCGAACATATGTGTGTTTTTTTAATATTTTTTTATTTTTTTTTATTACTGCGCGATATCACACAAAAACAGTAGCTATTGAGCGAAGAGAGCAAACAGTCGGACTTAGTAACGTGAGAACTTGAAAACGGCCGAGTAACATGCATTTTGTAATTAGTTCCCCTACCGTGAGCCAACATTAAATTAATGCCAGCCCTCGGCGTCATGACGAAGTTACAGCGCACGTAACTTGCGAGCGCGATACGTCACGCCGTTGGCACAGGAAATCCATGCGGGCCGCTATGTAATGCGAATCTATTACTCATCTTGCGCGTCTCGTTATCGCGAATTGGTGTAATCTCATCGAACCCCCTCCCGCCTTCTTCCCCCCCAGGCGAGATAAAGATTCGCGCCGCAAATAAAACCCTTCTGGATATTTGTTTGTCGAAAATAATAATATGTGTTTCTCTTTTCTCTCTCTCTCTCTCTCTCCCTCTCTCTCTCTCTTTCTCAACGCAACGCAAACGACGAGCTGCTCGCGAACGACAATGTATTTTAAACTCGGTTTACTTTCGTGTTTACTGTTTACTCGGCGCGAGCGAGACAGGTCTATCGGATAAGCGCGCAGATTGCAGATGGAGATTGTACGGACGCGTACGAATAATTTCGCGTAAATACAAACCCGTACGCGCTGAAAACTCTGTGGATATGAATCCCTCGCGCGAAGAGAAAGATACCTTTCCTCCTCCTCTCCGCAAAAAAACAAAGAAAAAGCGAAAAAACTGGTTCGCGAGCACGCATTCGCTCCGATGTACATTTAAAATAGGTCCCACCGCGTGTATATCCGACGCCCTTCTCGCGCGAGATGTGTGTGCACCGTCGCTGCTACGGAGATCCGTATATAACTTGACCTATATGTACGTGTGGCCATGGGGCCGCGCGATGCATATCTCGATCATGTGTGTGTATGCAAACGCGCGATCGTATTTTCGTGCGAGTCCGGGATCATGCGAGGCTATACCGCGCCCGCGTTACAAAAGCGAGTTATATACCGTCGTCCGCGTGAAACGAAGTTTCTCTCGCGCGCAGCACGAGCGCGTTGTGGTTTCCATCACAACGTCGGCGTTAAACTCGCGCGCTATCACTGCGGCGTCTGCGAAGTCGCCGCGAGAAGAGATTATCGGAACCGCGCGTTTGTGGATTTGATTTCGCGGACTCTCGTCAACAAGAGAATTATTTTTTTTTTTTTTGCGCGCGCGCGGGCGCGGGCGAAATGAGTTTTATCATCCCTCCTCATCGAGTACGCTTCTCTTCCGTCGCGACACTCGTCGGGCACTATCAAACCACCGCAGCCGTTGAATTCCGGTGAAACCACTTTCGTGCGAGGAGGGATATCAATCTTAATGCGAGCGAGACGTCGTCGTCGTCGTCGTCGTCGTCGTCGTCGTCGTTCTCATGCAGGCGGAACTCAATATAGACAGCGGGGGAAAAATATTATGCGGCGCGTCAGGCTCGACACCCGCTGAATCGCGGCGTGTGTCGCGATATTATGTACCTTCATGCACGCGCGTGTATATATACGGAAAAAAAAAAAGTTGTTTTGCTACTACACGACCGGCGCAAAAAATTTGCCGAGTCTGCTGAATTTATTTTTGTCTTATCAACAAAATGTTTTTTTGTGTTGGTGAAAAAAAAAAAAAAAAATAAATTCAATAAACCTGGCAAATTGTTTTTGCTGGCCGTGTGCTGACGTTTTTAAAGACACGTGACTATACAGTAGTAAAGTCGCGTGACTAAAAGTATAACATAACATAACACGCGAAAATAATTCGCAAAACCGTCAACAAAAACAAATTATTTCGTTCGCCTAAAAACCTCATTCGCGCTCGATTCGGATCGAAATGCTTGACATTTGATCGGTAACACGCAGAAAGCGGGTTGTTTAGAGAAATTGAGAAGAATGGAATTGGAACGAGCGGAAT